GTGGAGTTGCACACTTACAAGTGATGAGCAGCAGTTGAAAATTTGGTTTATCAGTGTAACACTTGGAAGTGTGCAACTGCAAGTTAAATAGTTTAGTTAATATTTAACTCAGTAGTTGTGCAGTTGCAAAGCGTTCAAATCGGCAGCTGTTTGCAACTCCCGGCAACTCCTCTGTTGAACAATTCCTCCAATTCGATGCTGACTGTATGGGGAGTGTTGAACAGAGGACTTGCATACTTTGAAAGTGCACAACTACCGTAAAACAGGCTCATATGGACCATACGGGGTAATGTGGACCACCCTCTTATTCCTATGTCCCGCTTCTGCTCGACTTGCGCAACCAGTGAGTTGTCTCCCAGCATTGTCAGGAACAAAACTAAGTGGTAGTACGAGTCGAGCAGAAGCCGAATGGTCCACTTTACCACGCGCATGGTCCATATTACCCTGTTTTACGGTACTAAGTTGAATACTCAAAGGTGTTCTGAGGGTCTTTGAATGCGCTCGAGTGGTGTGGGTTTACGTACTTGCCTGGGAGGCAGGAGTATACCGTCAAATGGTCTAATAACCCATGCGTGGTTGGTCACCTCATTGTGGCTGCCATGGGGCATATTTTGGTGTCTAAATGTGTGCACCTTAACACAATCGAGGCCAAGGAATGGATCGCTTTATATTTACACTGTGTGCGAAAGAGCAGCCAAAGAAGGTGGTCCAAATTTCCTCGCATGGTCCATGTTGGACCATTTGACGGTACTGGCTTCTTTGGATTATAGTTGCAAGTAAGTATTAAACTTGCAATTGCACACTTTTACAAGTCTTTAGACAGACTCAAGTTGTATACTTGGTTCACTCAGTATATGCAAGCGAAGAAGAGATCGCAAGAAGATGTATACTTGGTTCAGTCAGTGTATGCAAGCGTAGAAGAGATCAAAAGAGTTACAGTGTAATGACAATTTTTGGTAAGTACCTCATGCATGCGCGGGCGGGTTGTCTACTCACTCGGCCCGTAAGGCACCCTAGACAGGAGTGATAGGCAAGCCCGCCCACACTCGTGTGTGCAGTACAGCACAACTAAGTGAGTAGGGCTAATGAGCTATCTGGTATTACATAAAAAGGACAGTTTAATGCGCACATCGCTGATTATTTGTGATTACTATTGTGCGTACAAACAAGTACGCCGTCAGGCAAGATCACCGTCAGCTGGTCCGTGAGAGTGGGGTGGTGAAAACTCGCCATAAAAAAGCATATCAGTGTGGCGTGAGTAGGGCAAAAACGGTAAATGAAATATAGCGTCGGTCTTTTCAAACACTTTGAAATTTGCGCTGAGTAGACTAGAAATGCCTCGCAACCTAGCATATCATCTCCAACAATATAAACTCGGTATCACATTCACTGGAAAACCAAAGGTAGGGTTTAATGCCCGTTACTGGCTTTCTAGGATGTTAAATTTTAATGTCTTTGTGAAGGCACGAAAATGTCCAACGGCATTGAAATGTGGCACCTTTTTTGGCAGTTTTAATGCTTTTGCAAGAGTGCTAATTTTTAATGCCTCTGTAAAGGCACAACCTTTTGTTTTCCAGCGTTGAGCATACCCGTTGATTGATATGCACGCTCTGCATCTAACTGACACTCGACTTTCGACCAGACGTACAGCTTCAGTTCCAGGTCAGCAAAAATAATATGTGAAAAGGTTTCTTAAAGTCCGTACAACTTCTCAGAATAGGTTAGTCTTGAGATTATTATAAAGTCAACACTCAATGTTTTTCTCCTTTTTTTTGTGCAAACGTTTGTACAAAGTTGCGCATACTTTTTGATTCGCACGAATTTGTGCATACCTATGCATAAAACATGCACTTCTTCGCATAAATTTATGCAAATTAAACGTATGCAATATTTTGTACAAATAAAATTTACATATCTATTCGTATGTTAAAGTAAAGCCTATTTCGAAAAGGAAAGTGCACCACCTTTCTTTACGAGTCGTTTCGCTTGAGTGCTGTGCGCGCCCACTTGCGAGGCCGCGGTTTGCCTTCCGGGTTCGTTTGTAGCCGACCTCATCAGTCAGCTAACTGCGCGTCCCCTTTGACGAGCCTTGAGCCCAGCCTCTCAGCTCTGATTCACCCCTTGTGTCTGGCATACTTTTATCCTCTTAAATAATCGTGGTCGGGTATCTCCCTTACCCCTTCCCCCCTCCTCCGCCAGCTCAGCTGCTGCAGAGGGGAAAAGAGCGGGTGGGGACGGGGCAGAGAGGTCGGGAGGGGCAGAATACAGCCCCACTAAGGAGGGCCCGCTCGCCGCCTCGCTCGCTGCCCGCTCACTATGCAGCGCTCGTCCCGTCCAGCACCAGGCCGCCCCGCCCCGCTATAAACTTAAGGGATGCCACTGGCGATGAGTCGAGGAACAACAAGGGGGAAAAGGAAGAGAAGGAGTTTCGGGGCTCGGCCCGGGCAGCTCGTCGCTCGCAGCGAACACGACCACGCTCCGTACCCCCTCTGCCGCGCCCGGACGCTGCCAGCCGCCCCCAGACGCCCCCGGCCGCCTCCGGCCGCCCCCGGCCGCCTCCGGCCGCCTCTGGCCGCCCCCGGCCGTCTCCGGCCGCCCCCTCGCCCCTTTCGGATGTTTCGGCGCTCGACGGCTCTACTGGCACAGCTGCCGCCGCCGCACCGCCCCACGGCGGGCCCCAGCCGCCCCACCACCCCTCCGGGCGGGTGTGGTGCGGGCGGACGCCCCACCCCTAGTTGGCTGCGATCGACTGGGAGGTGGCGGGGGGTTGGGGTGGGAGTGTGCGGCCCCGTTCGGAGCCCCAGCCAGGCCGCCGGGCCGCCGGGCCCTAGTGCCCAGTGCCGCGGCGTGCGAGCACCATCGCTGTGGAGCTGTGGAGCAGGGAGCTGGGGCCTCTCCGCCGTGGCCGCCCTGGCACACCGCCCTGGCGTGCCGTGCCGTGCCGCGCCGAGTGCCGCGCCGTGCCACGCCGTGCCGCGCCAGCGCTAGTGTCGTGTTGAACATGTGCCCGCCGTGCCCGCGCGGGTGGCGGCGCTCGCGGCGGGGGTGCGGACCGCCCGCGCCCCCCGCCTTCTGCCCCTTGCCCCCGCCCTACGCGCCCCTCGGGGGCCCGAGCGCGTTGTTGGTACTTTTGACCTGATCGCGGACGACGAGACGGCACCATGTTTGGATTCGCCAAGAACTTGCTCAACACCATGCTGGGGGAGGAGGAGCAGCAAAAGCCTGGTGGGCCCGGAGGTCCTCCAGGCGGCCAGATGGGCCACCACCCCCAGGGCGGCCTCGGCGGTGGCCTCGGCGGCGGGGGCGGGCTTGGCGGCGGCCTCGGCACGCAGCAGCACCCGCCACAGCCCATGCTGATGCGCGGCTCGATGGGCACCTTCCCCCGGGCGGGTGGGCCGCCGCGCGGGGTGCCTCCTGGACTGACCCCCCAGGGGGGCATGCGGCCGGGCATGGGCATGGGGCCTCCGGTGGGCATGGGCGGCCGCATGAACGGGCCCCGCATGATGGGACCGCGGGGGCCGATGGGGCCGGGCGGTCCTATGCGAATGGGTGGCCCCGGACCTCCAGGAGGACCTCAGCAGGGCCCAGGTGGGCCCGGAATCATGGGGGGTCAGATGGGTGGCCCAATGGGAGGTCCGATGGGTGGCCCGATGGGCGGTCCGATGGGAGGACCACTGGGGGGGCCGATGGGAGGACCGATGGGGGGACCGCACCACGCGGGGCCCCTGGGTGGACCCGGCCAAGGCTTTCCCCGACCTGTCGGACTCGGCGGCCCCGGCGCACCGCCTGGCCCCGGAGCCGGACTGGGCGGACCTGGAGCGCCAGGAGCCTTTGGCGGACCACCGCATTTCCCGGCTGGTCCAGGAAGCCTAGGGGCACCAGGAGGTCCCGTAGGCCCGCACGCCCCACCACCTCCTGCAGGTGAGTTGCTTTTAAACACCCGCGCTATCGCTGTGTGGTATGCGTGGGTGGGGGAGGGAGGGAATGCCTGCTCACTGAATTCCTTGGTAAAAGTTCGTGCAGCTCTGACATGCCAGGGTGCCGGTCGGGCGAGCCCGCCTAGCGAGCGCTCCTGCCAGGCGATAATGCGCAGGACGAGCTGCTCTACGGTCACTTCGCTTCAAACAGCAGACATTCCCGGTACATTTTCTAAACTTTTTGCATATAACAGTCTAATAGGCTCCTATATTTCTCAAAAGTCTCAAATCATGCCATATTGGCATTTCTCATCCTATTGCCTCACTATGCCTGGAAAGCGACATAGCCCGTCTTTTCGTCGATGCTCCTCGATGTCTGAGGAACGCCGCACTCTCATCCCGTTACTCATTTTTTCCCACCCTTTGTCAACATTTTTTTTAGGTTATCCTGGCAGTAGTTTTTGCAGTTAAAGTTATTAATTCTTTTTTACATGGTTGACAGTTTGGCATTTTAGCACATATTTAACGAAACAGTGGTTAATAATAAATGGATACAACAGACTGACACAGTGATTCCTGCTGTAGGGCATTCTGACGTTTAAACCAACAAACAAGCAGGCCCGCCCTTCCGCCAAACGAAGTTGCCAGCTCCGCTTCGCTCCGCCGGCAACTCCGTTCGGCAGGAGCCGGGCCTGCTTGGCCTGCCGGCGGCGATGGTCGGGCCTGCGGCCCGACCATTTCTGTCACGTGATTTGCTGAAGAACATGATCGACTGATGTAGCGGGCCATGAGTTTTCCCCAAAGACTCGAGAAAGGGATGTAACGGTGAAGCACCGCGACTACAACCCACCCTTCTGCTTAAAAAACGTCTTTGGGGGTGGGTGGAGAGTTTCTTTCCTATTTTGCGGTGTTTAGGCCTTTTTCTACAACTTCTTGTTCACTATGGCAATTTTTACCTTATTTTCGTCAAAAAAGACCCTCTAGCGCCTAAACGATTAAAGATAGAGCAAAACGGACGAAATTTTCGCCCAGAGGGCTCTACTTTGATGAGTTATCCCTAAGAATAACATGAAGAAAAAATTAATTTTCGGAGAATTTTTGAACCTTGGATACCCCCATTCACACCCTTAGGGGTGGTTGCCAGGATTTGCCGTAGGCGTTTTGTTCTCTAGGAGTGGACCTTAAGATACCCTGAAAATTTCAAGTCTCTAGCACATCTCCTTCTAGTGGAACAGACAGACACACAGACAGACACACGAGGTCGTTTGCATAAGCCCGCTGGATAGCTTTTTCAAAGCAGAAGGGCGGGCCAAAAAGGAGGGGCGGAGACGGTCTCCTGGCTGGCGCTGGCACGACACTCACTCGGACACCATTCCGCAGCGCTCAAAAAGATGATTTCTGGTTTTTCTTAGTTCTCTTTCCTGCTTATCGAGAGTTAAAGCTAGCTGACACCTTAAAGTTACTTATGTATTTTTTATATTTAGTGAAAGTATTTAAGGTATCATCTGCTAAAAATCTCAATCAAGAATCTATCTTCCAAGCAGATGATACAAATTTAAGAATAGGTCTGTCAGCTGGCATTTGTTTATGGCTGCTTGTTACTTGAAATTTTGTTAGTCTTCGTACTTACTAGCGGCGTTGAGGAGATAAAGGGGTGGGCGGAACAGAACGGCCGGCGAGCCAGACACTCACTGATTCCCCTAGCGCCAAAGAAATCGTTTTTGGTCTCCACTTGGTTATCTGTCCTTATCGAGAGTAAAAGCAAGCTGACACCTTAAAGTTCCTTACATATTCTTTGTGCTTAGTAAAAAGCTTTTTAACGTCATCTGCTGTAAAACGGTCAGTGTCACATTTTGCAAAACCAAGAGACATCTATCCGCCTATGCGATAAATTACAGCATGCATTCATCAGCTTCAGATAAGTCCTAGACTCCCCGTTTCCTAGACCAAGCCTCATTCAACCACCTACCACCCTCCCGTAGACTAAAACCCTCAGCGTCGACTGGAAGGAGGGGAGAGACAAAAGCTCTAGTGCCGACCTTCCTCCCTAGCCACCGAATGGACGGTCCGCTCTCAGATTACTTAGATTTTAGACGAACCTAAACCTTTCGTGTAATTATTGATATAAAGACACTGCCTCAACTACAACTTCAATCAGCCGGCTCTTATGTATTGTAAAACATACCCTAATACTGTACTTGAACGCAAACAGAATTGAACTGCTCTTTTCGGCTGAGAAAATCCCATGGGGCCACCACTTTGATTCAGGATGTACACAGGATTACGTGATTACAGGGATTGCACACGAATTTTGATGGAAAACACGTGAATTTTGTTAAATTTCTGGAGCCAAAACCATTAAATTTGGCTAAGCAAGTGAATTGATAATTTAGCAAAATTTTGATAAGTATTACACGGGTTCGAACCCTATACTATATATAGTAGGATTGCATAGGGGTTACACTTTCATCTGTACAAAATTATTGCAGGAGTCGTGGCCCGCTCGGAAAAATCGCATTACAGCTATTTAATTCTTGTTTCAGGCCCGTCAAAATTAACAAAGAGGGTAGTATTTATTAACTAGGTAGATGTACGCCAGACCACGTCCTGCGTAACAGGCTTAGCGATATCTCACGAAACAATGTGACGCTGCGACGCGCCTGGCATACATCTCCCTAGGCCAGTGGCACTGACACCCGAGTCGGTCAAAAGTCAGAGTCACAAAAAGTCCTTCGGCCTTAAAAATCTCAAACTTTAATCCACAGAGGTGCCTATAGCTCAATCCGTTCTTGAGTTATCGTGATTACAGACAGACGGTAAAAAATTTGAACATCACTGGAGTGAAAGCGAGTAATAGGCTTCGCTATCGCTCAGGCAACTATCGCTCAGCCAGAACGCCGAAAGATCGCTGACCTTCAACGTTGTTCGATCTCGCCGCGACGTTTCAACAAAGTTCGATGTGCTTTTTGGCTGGCGGCGTAAACATGAAGTTTAGCATTACACTACAATTCAGGGCTTTAAATTAACTCAAATATTAAATTATGTCTGTAATCCTTTATTCCTGATGAACAAATATCGACCAAGCACTTTGGAAGTCGAGTAACATTTACCCGGTTAATCAGCGATAAGTATGGAGATGTACCGTCGAGCCGAAAAGGACATCGAACTTTGTTCAAGCGTCGCGGCAAAATCGGACAACGTTTAACTGTCGCGGCGAGATCGGACAACGTTGAAATGTCGCGGCGAGATCGGACACGAATTGAAAACTTTATCAGTGCATTACACTGTCTAGTTTTCAGAGCAGTTAGAATATTGAAAATTCTAACAATTACACCAAAATAGGTTGGGAGACGTAGAAAACAAAATTAATTTCGTACTACGAAAAAAAGTCGTTCTGTAACTTTAATTTTATTTTTTTAATTTACTGTGGTGAAATTACCCAGAAATTGCGTCCGTTCATTAGCCCACAAACTGATAAAAATTGCCACAAACGGCCAAAGTTCTAATTTGTGGGGAGTAACTCTGCCATTTAAATTCCGATCGCCTTCGGGCATAAAATGTTTTCCTTTTTTTTTATCAAGGGAAACCTTTAAATGGTGTTAGTTTTTCAAACGGCTCCCAAAAATTACCCCCCCCCCCCAACTAACGTACGTAAACCATTCCACAAACCATATCACTTTGGTTCCTTCTCAACAGAAACTCGTGTAACGCAGGACGAGTTCCGCAGCTGTAAACATTAGAGAAATGCATTTATTTTGGCCAACTGACGACTCTATAATCTGTTCAAAAGCATTAAAGTCGTGATGTGCAGCTGCCGAGGGGTCCCATACTTCCAAAATAGCTGCACGGAAAAAGAAGACTTTGTTGTGGGGATCATTTCTGTTTCGTAGGCTAAATTTGATAACTGGAATCGAAAATCCGATACTCACAAGCAAGAGCTGGTTGTAACGACCGGACACTTCTACGAGGAGAACCAAGCTGGAGTTTGTTCTCTTCATACAAGTGTCCGGTCGTGGCGACCAACCCTTGATTGTGGGTATCGGATTCTCGATTCCAGCTATCGAATTTATCCTACCAAAACTAACTGATCCTCACAACGAAGTCATTTTTTTTCCGTGTGAGCGACGAGTTGACGAGTTGGGCAAATAATGCACGAGTTGGGATCAATTTTTGGAGAGTTTTGCGCTACTTTCCGCAAATTTAACTCGACTTTTCGCAAATTTTCGCGAGTTTTTGCGAGTTTGAGACGAGTTCGACGCGAGTTGAGCGCGGGGAAGTGTACAATGAGTTGGCTAGTGAAGGACCCCTCGGCAGCAACCGCTCGACACGCACCTCGATGCGCGCGGCGCACTCGGCGCACTCGTCGTGCTCTTGCAGTTCACCCGTGTCGCGTCCCACTCCCACTCTGCTCGCATTCTGCTCCCATCTCGCTCCCGTTGCGCTCCCGCCGCGCTCCAGCCGCGCTCCCGCTCCCGCTCCGCTCCCGCTCCCGCTCCGCTCCCGCTCCGCTCCCGCTCCCGCTCCCGCTCCCGCTCCCGCTCCCGCTCCCGCTCCCGCTCCCGCTCCCGCTCCCGCTCCGCTCTCGGTGCGCTCTCGGTGCGCTCTCGCGGTGCACCTACTCTGCTCGCGTAGTGCACTCAAGTCGCACTTGATCTTTGATCGCCGTGCTCTCGACTCGCGCTCGCATCGCTCCCGTAGCGCACTCGTCTCATGTTCAAAGGGGTTGTCCTTACACTCTGAATTTTTGGGTTGCCCCGGGGTGCCGTGCGCATCAAATTTTCCCGCGAGTTGTTTTTCCTTGTCCTCAATTAATCTTAAACCTGGTTTCCCTTGCAGCTTCTTGTTCCTGTCTTGCCCCGACAGCCCAATATCAACTCGATTTCCTTAACAATAAGCCACCCTGTATTATAGCACCCCCTTCCCCCGGCACAGTGCTCTATAGAAAGTGAAAGGAAAGGCCACAACGGTATGGCGGGTAGCCATATGGACCTTCGAGCACTGTGT